TGACTGTTGACCTCTGAACTCGAAAGCTTCATTGTAAGTGAGTGGCTGTAATCTGCTGAGAACTACATAGGCGAAGGCTTTCCGCCACAGTACTCAGCAGAAAAAAAAGTTTAATAGGAAGGATAATTTAATATGGACCTCTGCATACTAGTGAAGAAGTAATTAACTTGCAATTAACTTTAATTAGCAAAGAGTCATACAAGGAATGCACACGTCTGTGGTGGATTGAAGTGAGAATAAATGCTAAAATTGAGGTGAGGTTCAGGAGAAAGAAGTGGAGACAAGAAGATCTGTCTTTCTAAGTGAACATAAGGGCTGGAAATGAATGCCAAAGTCCTCATGGAGTTGAATGAAATGATGCAACATATTAAAGGCCTGGGGTGGGGAGAGGGAAACTGAGAACCTCCTGCAGAAATAATTAAGAGCCTTCAAGTTGCCCAGTAGATAAGAGAGAAAGAGAGGACGCAAAAATAAATAAATCACAGGCTAGTATCCTAGGTCACTGGAGTGTTGTGTAGGATGAAGAGCTGTCAAGAGAGGAGGCAGAAGAAGAGTAATGATGGAAGCCAGTGAAAGTGGGGGGGGGGGAGCAGGAGGAGTCTGTATACTTTTTGTACTTTCTTTCATTAGAAGGAACCCTCTCAAATTTGGGGAGAGCTTTTGCCTTAGAAAGCTCATGCAGGAAATGTGTTGAAAAGTTCCAGTGAAATCAGGAGCAGAAATTGCTGATGTTCACTTAGTTTTCCCACATCCAGAACGGAAATCAACCCAGCAAATGTGACTTGACACTTGTTGCTGTTGCTGCTTTTAGTCCACAAACAATACACAATCAATTTCCATCTTTTCTCCATTTGCACGGAGTGGAATAACAGAGTGATTATGCAATTTGTATACTTAATTATATAAATAGCACGTGTTATGTAACTGAATTATGTAAATGTCATGTGTTCTGTAATTTCACCACATCAAGAGGAATAATGCAGTTTTGGGTGGAAGATGAACTGCAGCAAAATGGAAACACTCCTGCACAGGACACAGGGTGGAACATCCTTACATCCCGAGTTGGAAATCAATTAATGTGTGGATAATTAATAAGTGTGGATAATAAATCATGTGCTGCATTGAATCCCAAATTGAGAGGACGACAGGATATAAATACCATAAATGAAAATCATAATTAACATTATGAATAATCAACTTCCATCACATTTTAGTACCCGTTGTTGTTGTTGTTGTTGTTGTTGGAGAACAATTTGGTTCATGTATAGCAGGCATGTTCAATAACTTTGGCTCCCCCCCCCAAAAAAATCAACAGCCGTTGGAAATGACTGATGTATCGTTTTGAGCAGTGTGGATTAGGCAGGTTTGCATTACAATGCAACCTGCCCCAAATCTCACCTTCCCCACCCCCAGGCTGTAAGTGCCACTTTCCCACCCCCCACCCCCACCAATTTGATTTCTTCCAGTGGAAGGTGGGGATGAGGGGGGTGGAATTCAGCAGCTGCTGTTGAAGCAGTTTTGATATCATAGACTCATTCCATAAAAGATCTGCTGTTTGTTTCCTAACTTACCATCGTTTAGTGAAGAGAAAATAATAATAATAAAACAACCCTGCCTGAAATAAAAACAAAGAATAAAAATAGCAAAATGAAAATCCTATTTGCACAGGAGATGAACAGATGAGTCAAAGCTGCTTATTTTTAGAGAGGGGGGGGAATAATGCTAATTTAAGTAAAAAAAAGCTAGTAACAGATATATGTCTGCACATCTTACAGTCAAAAAACATCACCTAACAAGGTCATTGTAGCTCAGGCAATTATTCTGGCAAATTGGTCTGGAGGTATAAAAATCTAATAACACCATGTATAACTGCTCAATTGTCTGCCCGCACTTCTGTGTAACTAGATGAGCAAATTTATTTCTTTAAATTAGGGACATGCTAAAGTGGTTTGTATGGTAACTCTTCACAGGGATCACTATTAAACAGTCTAGTTTTTCATTTAAAGAACAACTGTTACCTCTCTCCTCATTCCTGAAAAAGTACTTCATTGTTCTAGCGGCAGGTGCACTTATTGCAGTGGTGGTGAACTGAATGTGGCCCCTCAGGACTCTTTGCCTGGCCCTTGGAACTCTCCTCAGGCCACACAACTCAGCACCCACACACCCCACTGTCGCTAAGTGTCTTTGTGGGTTTCCCTGGGTGGAATGTGTCCATGAACTCAAATACCTCTTGCTTATCTGGATGGAGGGGAGAGAGGGACATTTGTAGGAACTAGTCTACCATATAGTGGTCAAGTTTATGTTGATTGCTCCACCACCTATGCCTCCGGCCCTGTCTACCACTGGAATGTGGCCCTTGGACCTATAAAAAAGTTTCCCACCTGTTTTAGAACATTCACAAACATCACCAAAAGCCATCAAGGCCATCAAATCCAGCTCATTTAACTATGAAAAAGAATTGAATTCTTCAGGAAAAGCATTAAAGGGCTTTGAGAGAAGCCACAATGGGTTTGGGGGAATAGAAGCTGCAATTCAGCTGTTCTGCAATTCAGCTGACCAAGTGGAGCACAGCCTCAGTTTATGGTGGACAGTCAAGCACTGGTTAAACTAAGAGACTTTGCTTGTCAAGCCAATCCCTCCAAGGGTCCTTCTTTTCCAGGGACAGTCCTGGAATTATGAAAGCCATTCCAGCTTTTCATTTGAACCTGGGATGTCCCTATTTCCTCTGCCAGTGCTGCTGCCGCTGAGCTCAGGCAGAAGGATGAGCTGGCCCTTGACCTGAGTGGTGACGACAATGGCAGCTGCGAAGGAGCATCCTGCTGCCTCTCCTTGGCTTCTCCATGGCCACTGCTGCTGGCCTCCTTCCTTGGGCTGCTTGTAGCGGCTGCTAGAGAGTGGGCAAGGAGGAAGAGAGGCTGCCTCCGCTAAGGACCAACTCTGTGTGTTACTCTGGCTCTGAGGGGCAAAAAGAGGGCAAGGAAGAAAGGGGGAGTGGAGTGCAAAGAAGACCTGGTTTTTTTATTTTAAAAAATGCTTTGTGCATCTACATCTAATCTTGCCCCTTTCTGAAATTTATTTATTGGTGTGTGTTTTCCTTTTAGTAAATCTCCCAAAGAATAAAATGAAATAAAATCAGGATTAATGGGTTTTCTCAGGATGGTGGAGGGTATGTGTGTGCTGTATCCTGTGAGTGTAGTGGTGGAGGAAATGCTCTGGGGTGGGGGACCAAAAAATGGGGGGTTGAGGAGGGTCAGTTGTTGAGGTGGGGAGTGAGAAATGTCTCTCTTTTCATCTGAGGAATGTTGGAGGGGTATGTTAAGCACCTAGCAGACCTGAGTGGGAATGTTGTCACCCGATAAAATGAATTGGTAGGAGATATAGAACAGGCGTAAGAAAATGGTTCTTCTCCAAAGAACATAGAAAAGAATTGTGATGGCCTGTGGCTTATCATCCCCTTTAATACTGACATCAGGTGGCATCATGCCAAGTGCTTTGTAGACAGAAGAGGGCCACTCACAAGCAAAGCAAAGTTCTAGCATACTCAGGGATGCCTGCAACATAAAGAAATGTTTGCCTGCAACAAAAAAATGATATGGACAGGTTTGCCCCCCCAAAAGGAGTGCAAAAATATTGTAGCCTACTGTGCAAAGGATTGTGTCCCACCTGTTGTTCTAGCCACTTTTGCCTTCATCCCCACCCACCAGAGGCATGCAACCAGGTGTGTGTGAGAGGGGGGGGGGAGAGACAATAGAAATCCTCAATAATAGGTGCGATAACATCTGGTCCATTGCAGCAGTCATTAAATTAACGTATTACAGGAAAACACAAGATCAGTAACAGCACAGATTTATGGAAAGATGGTCTTTCTTATTATGTTCAGTAATGATAGACATCAATAAATATCCAACCTTATAATGTTTTTGCTCTGTTATAAATATGTGGTGCTCAACCTGCATATGTGATGATTTTATAAACATTGCTTTATTTTAATGAGTGGATGAAAGCAACAAAGAAAAATAAACTTTGACTTCTTGAATCATGATCAGAAACAGGTGGGTGCTAGTGAAAAAGAGAAAAAGTTCAGAAAATCCACCCACACAAAGTCCAGCAAAGTCCAAATGCTTTTATCCACCTGGAGACTTGGAGGAGGAGACTAGGCCGCACCTGGAAGCAGGGAAGAGCAGCAGAGAGGAAGATGCTTGATCCACAGCTCAAGGGCAGACTGGAAACAAGATACCCACCCCATGCAGACATGAAATGGCTAGGAGGGTGTTCTCGTCAACAAAATGCTTGAGGCCATTCCATCATCTGCCTTGGTGTCCCCTGTTTCCTCTCCGCATCTGAGGAAGCCAAGAACATAACATAAAACAGAAGGCACATGCATTTCTGGAATATCCCAGAGGCAAAGAGAGAGAGAGAGAGAAGAGAAGAATGAAGCAAGAGCATCTTTCAGAGCTGAGGATCAACATTCTTCTATTTAGGTTAAAAATCCTCCTGGGGTGGGAAGTGGGAGAGGCCTTCTGGTTCCAATTCCTACTCATGTTTGTTCCACGGCTTGGAATGGAAAAGTAAATGAACAAGGAGGAGCATATGGTGGACATCAGGGGTGGATGACCTGTGGCACTCTAGATTTTGCTAAACTACAATTTAGGGATTGGCTAATCTGTCCATTCCAGTTTCTTATTTTTTTTAATCTATAATTCAGTTCCCCACATTTCCATACCAATTTGAGATTTTTCTTTTGAAAAGTCCTCATGGAAATCCACTGGCATTTTATGAGTAATTTTTCACTAATAAACACTTTTTTCTATGCAGTTTGGCCTAACACTGTATACACAATTTTGCAAAGCATACTTCCCCTAACCCAATGCATTTTTGTATGCTATTTTTGCCAACATATGCATTTTAAATGCATACATTATATTAGAATAATAGAACAGTAGAGTTGGAAGTGACCCTGAGAATCATCTAGTCCAACTCCCTGCAATGCAAGAATGTGCAGCTGTGCCATACAGGGATTGAACCTGCCACCTTAGAGCTATCAGCACCACACTCTAACCAACTGAGCTAAATGTAGAGATGTGGTCAAAATGTTTCAACACCTGCACTCTGTCATCCCATTCCCATGTTATACTATTGCATATATAGGGACGCGGGTGGCGCTGTGGGTTAAACCACAGAGCCTAGGACTTGCCAATCAGAAGGTTGGCGGTTCGAATCCCCATGACGGGGTGAGCTCCCGTTGCTCGGTCCCTGCTTCTGCCCACCTAGCAGTTCGAAAGCACGTCAAAGTGCAAGTAGATAAATAGGTACCGCTCTGGCGGGAAGGGCACTGCTCTGGTTCACCAGAAGCGGCTAAGTCATGCTGGCCACATGACCCAGAAGCTGTATGCCGGCTCCCTCAGCCAATAAAGCGAGATGAGCACCGCAACCCCAGAGTCGGTCACGACTGGACCTAATGGTGAGGGGTCCCTTTACCTTTTTATGTAATCTGAACATGCAGCAGAATGAGAATTTTATATGAAGATGTGGCTGCAGGTGGGGAAGTGCATGTTTTATTACATCTCTGTGTAACAACCACTCTGCAAACAGAAAACACCATGCTCAAGTAAAAAAAGGCAAGCAAATTATGTGCTCTACCACTGAAGAACCATCAAAGATACGTGGGTAATTGGCACAAGGGTGGTAGTCATTTAAACAGATTGGTCACACTAGCACTGGAGAGTGGAAAGGACCTTTTTGGGGTCCACCCAAACCTAAAAGTCTTGGTTCGGGGGAGGGAGATGGGAGTTGGGTGAGCTTCTCACAACCCACAGGTGGCCAGCTGGGCACCAGTGAAATCATCTACTTGAGTTCATGGCAGCATTTAGGAGGACCTGTGCCTCAGCCTGATGCCCACATAGCTTGTTCTTGCTACAAAATTATTGTCCTAAATATTTAAGGAAGCCCAGTCAGTGTTGACAATACTGATTTTGATAGGCCAATGGTCTGACTTGATATAAGGCAGCTTACTATGTTCCCATCACCCCTATTAGTTTTGATGGCTGGGGTTGATGGGAGTTGTAGTCTAAGGATGCCTGGAGACCACAGGTTTCTCAGAACAGATGTATGGGAACCCGTGTGTGGGAGTCATTGAGAGCTAGTTTAAATAAATCGGGGTGGGGGGAAAACAAGAACATTTCTTCCCCAGTGTTCAATCATGATGACTGTAATGATGCTCTGAGCTGAATGGAGTTTGTATATCACTACAAGCAGTGCTAATTAAAAAATAAATAAATAAATAAATAAAACCCCATCATCTCTGTCCAAATATGGGAGAGGGGACAGAATAAACAGACAAGGAGACAACGGTCAAATGTGCAATACCACATTTCATTTCATTTCATTTCATTTCATTTAAAAAGCAGCAACTTTTGTTTGACTCCAGCTGCAGTTAGTAGAAGGTCTTGGTATTCCACCAGGCCAACTCCACAAGCGAATTACATTTTGCTTGAGCTGAGTCATAATTAGAGACATAAGAAATTAGCCATTAAAGTTAACAGCGAAATCCCACTTGTACCTCTTGTAGATTAATCTATCACTTTGTGTTTTCCAGAGAGAAGTGCAAAATGTTCTTTCGGTGCAGTGCGACCAAAACGCCAAATGTGTATATTAATTTTTCAGCCTCCCTGATGAATCTTGTTTAGAAAACGGATCATAACATAATGGTACATCATTATCAAACTTGCAGAGCTTCCTGATCTTTCCTATTATAGCCAACAGTTACCAGTCACAAGGGGGAATGAGTTTTTTGGTTTTTTTTTAAAAAGGTGAGATTCAAAAACAAGTGGAATATAAGGTGTAATAAAAAGAGGGGAGAATTTGGTGTGGGAGAGACACAACCGCCTTTTTTAACACTGTTGTTGTTATTATTCTCTTTTTTGTTGTTGTTTTTATTAAACGTTCATCTTGCTTTTCTCACAAGGGACTCAAGACAGTATGCATGGTTCTCCCCACCCCCACCCCTGTTTATCCTTGGAATAAGCCTGCAAAGTAAGCTGGACTGTGAGAGATGGCAACTGGTCCCAAGTCACTCATGGAGCTTTGTGGCTGAGCGGGGATTTAAATGTGGCTTCCCCAAGTTGTACTCCAACACTTTAACCACAACACCACACTGGCTCAAAGTTAGCCACTACTTGTAACATTTAATTTGTGTGCAGCTTGTATTCACTACACCCAACAAGAAGCGCTCAGACTGGTCCTGAAATCATGCCCGCTGCCTTAGAAGCCTTGTGTCCTTTAACCAAGGTGTGGTTGAGGAGGTGAAGGTTAATGTGTGGGGGAAAATAGGCTTTTACCATAGAAAGGGATCATCTAGACTTCCTTTTGTGACATACTTCTAGGCACAGGTCTGTGCTTTAAAGCTCTGTGTTTAAGCGTTGTTGTTTGGTTGGGTTTTGCCCTGACACTTTCCTCACTAAAACCTGCTCTTTATCACTGAATCAGAACAAATGGCAATATGCAGACTACCTGAATTGCCGGTTGTTCTGATTCAGCATTAAAGAGTGGCTTTTCCTGGGTAAAGCAGTGGGGACAGCAAGGGCTCAGACACAGAGCTTTAAAGCACAGGCCTAGAAAGTGCAGGGGCAATAGGTAAGTGTGGATGAGTCCAAAGTCTCTTATGTCCCTGAAGCTTAGTCCTGGAATGTTAACTAACACTCCACATTCATGAGGGAAATGAAAGGTCATTTTAAGCCAAAACTTCAGGGCAAAATGGAAAGAGACTTTTGGCAGGGAGAGGGGGTGAGGAGAGGACCTGTGCCCAATGTAACAGAGATACATGAGCCAATAGCTGATTGACTGAATCCTTGAGTAGGGCAATCTGGTCTCTGGCTGAAGTCTGCCATAATCCTGACATAATTGCAGACCCTCCAAGTGTCCCTATTTTCCAGGGCTGTCCCTGATTTAGAGAAGCTGTCCCAGTTTCTGATTTGATCCCAGAATGTCCCACTTTCCCTTAGGATGACCCTATTTTCATTGGAAAAATGTTGGAGTGAATGGAGTTATCTGAGCCGCCTGAAGGCAATCCTGTATAGAGAAGTTTTTTTATTGTTTAATGCTTTATTATGTTTTTATATTTGTTGGAAGCTGCCCAGAGTGGTAGGGGCAACCTAGTAAGATGTGTGGGGTATAAATAGTAAAATTATCATTGTGGAATGGGACATCCCTATTTTCATCTGAGAAATGTTGAAGGGTATGTAATTGCAGAGCAAAAGCCATTACACTGCTAGAGAATGGGGGGAAGTCATATTGTCTGTTTTGTTTTCTCTCAGTTTCTCATTTTTCCAGTCCTAAATTCTAATCTACACATTTTGTATGCAATTTTCCATAAAATGCACCTATTCTCAAAGCGACTTTTTCTATGTTATTTTTGCAAATCTATGCATTTTAAAGCACACTTTACCCTTGTGTATGAATTTTTGTGCATACATTACTTGGCTGGAGAACTACATTGCAAAATTCAGAGAAATATGAATTTTGAAAGATGGTTGTGTTTCAGTTCTGTGTATTGTTTCAGAGAGTGTAAATTAAATAGATTTCCCCTTTAAATGTGAATTGAATTGAATTTGTCTCACATTTCTACTAGAGAGCCAGTCAGTTCTGCATCTTTGATGGTGTCATTGAGGGCAAGTGAGGGCAATTAGGAGTGAGGCAATGAATATAAAGATGTGAACACTGTGTCAATGATTGTCCCAAATTACCGAAAAGGGTGACACTTTTTCAGCATATTTGCAAGGAGGGAAAGTGAATAGATTTCGGCTCAGCCTTAATCTCCCCCAAACTCCAAGAAAGACATTCCTTTGAAATGCTTCAACCTGCCAAGAAATCCGTTTTTGCTGGTTTCCCTCCTTTTAATGGTAGACTATGCCCTCCAAGCTTCCATTTCTAAACTTAAATGGTAGGAAAAGAGTGTTCCTTTTTATTCAAACATATGGCACTTTATCAAACTTGTATATAAATTACCTGATTCTTCATACCACCGATATTCCTCCAATTGCTTTAATAGACCATAAAAATGGTAATACCATGGTAAACCGTTAAACACTTAGCCATTAAGCCCAGCAGTATTCCTTGTTTAATAGTTTTTTACTCATTTAACACTTACGATTTGTAACCGAGTAAATCTAATTTTAAAGTAGGCTGAGGAAGTGAAGCCACCTCCAGGGAATAAATCTACACTACCTTACCTGGAGGGCAATATTAATTGCTCTCTAGACCCAGAGCAGGCTTAAATGAAGTCAAGCTCCAAGGATTACTAATGAGTGAGGATTCTTCCATTGTACCTGGTTCAAAGTCTTTGGAAGGCGATTTTCTTTTCTGGAGAAAGTGGCTGAGACGCAAAGCCCTTGAAGTCTCTACCTTGCTAATACTTTTAAGTTATTAGTAATGATCAGGCAGCTTTGCTAGGACATTAAACAGTTGTTAGCTTGTCAAAGGAGAGGAAGAGGGATAGGTATCTGAGAAACCATATCCTCTGGCTGGACATCTCCTTCCTCGCCGTATTTATTTAGGTCAGGGCAAAATATTCTCAGAAAAATAAGCAAAAATGGAATACTGTGCACTGTTCTGGTCACCTTGCCCTAAAAGGGATATTGCAGAGCTGGGAGAGGTTCAGAAAAGGACAACCTGTTGGCTATATATATGATTTATATGGCCAAAAGTGGCACTGTGCAATGCCAGGTTAATGACAAATAAGACCAGTGCCATCCATGACTTGATCATGGATGGAGGAATTGACCTGGCATGTGTGACAGAGACATGGTTGGACACAGCAGCTAGGCCTGATCTTGCTGCTGCTTGTCCACCAAGTTTCTCTTACACCCAGCAACCTAGGTATGTGGGCGAGGAGCGGGGTGCTGTGATTTTTAAGAAGTCCTAAGTTTTCACCAGCATCCTATTAGGGAGACCCAGATTTCTGAATGCATGTTCTGGAAGTTGGGCTAGGAATAGGGAAGTTGGAATAGGGGACATCCTATCGGTGTACCAGCCTCACAGCTGCACCAAAGATTCCCCACCCAAGCTGCTTCAGGTCATGTCA